CACAGAGACTGGCAAAACGTCAGGAAGAATAACCTTCAGAACACGACCAAAGAGCCCGAAAAACCCACAGCAGCCATCACATCCTGGCCATGAAAGCCTTTGAGAATACAAATTTAAATTTTGATGAAGCACATTATGAATCATTCAGGTTTTTTAAAAAATGTGTTTGATCCTACTTTTTCACAAAGGGAGATGTAGGTTCATATGACAAATAAGGACTGCCTTAAGGAAACCTAAGGAAACCTATAGATGAGTGTGCATTTGAATTTACATCCCTTGAGATACTCTTATCCTACTGGATAATGTTGGATTTTCTTTCCAAACAAAGGATAGATGGGAATCTAAACATCATTCTTAAACTCTTAAAATGATACAATCCAATTTCAGCACTGGTGGCATTCATCAACACACAAAATACAAAATTGTCTTTCCCAATTATGCCAGGACTATCAGAAGGTTGTTTATTTGAATTCTTACTACTGGTAACTAAGGTGTGCCTACCATTATTTTCAAGGAAGCACTTACGCTTCATTAGTTCCATATTGTTCTAGCAGCCCTGCCCACATATGTGGAGTACACTGAAATATATAAACACTTCATATGCTTTCTGTTTTATGTGTGGAGATACTAATCCTTAAATGCTTTGTAGTTTTGTTCTTGTTTTGTTATTTAAATAAAAAATTGAAAACTACTTCCTGCCTTGCCTTCTGTAGAATATAATATAATAGTTACATCGATGTTCATATCTTTAATTCTGAGCCTATTGTTGTCGAAGATGAATTGAAGGATTGGAATGGCTTAAATGAGTAGATGTGATTCTCACCCACATTATTTCAGTTCATGCCTTAACACTGTCCTTCTTTCACAGTTCCACTGTATTTTGGTCCATCTTCCATTGGAAGGCCACTGTTAGCTTTATTAGGTACCAATGGCTATCTGGAAATCTGTTGGCATGATTCTTTAAAGTATAAAATAAATTGCATTCAATTTTATCCTATTTCATAATTTTCTTCAAGAAAATTCAGATTTGCTTGTTTCTGCTTTTTCTCAGTAGCAGTGGAACAGACATTACCCTGAGAGTTGATTAAACCTTTTAGGAAGCAAATACAGATAATGTGGGGAACTCTCCAAGATTGGAACAGTCAGATTTACATTGTATTCCATTGACTGCGTGAGATAGAAGTCAACATGGTGGAGAGGGAACAACAAAGAATCAGCAGAGAGAGAGAGAGAGAAGAGGAAGTTTTCTGTTTTTTAAGATGGCTGTGCTCTGGCTGTCCAGATTTACAGAAGGTCCAGCTACATTCAATTTTCTTTTCTCTTTAGTCGTATTAATTACCAGCCCATCTCTAATGTTCCATTCTTGGGCAAGGTGCTAGAGTGGGGTATGGCTTCTAAGTTCCAGAGGTTCCAGGACGAGATAAATTATCTAGAACCATTTCAGTCTGGCTTCAGGCCTAGTTACAGGACTGAGACTGCTTTGGTCGCCCTGGTGGATAAACCTGCACCAGGGATCAAAAGAATCAGCAGAGAGAGAGAGAAGAGGAAGTTTTCTGTTTTTTAAGATGGCTGTGCTCTGGCTGTCCAGATTTACAGAAGGTCCAGCTACATTCAATTTTCATTTCTCTTTAGTCGTATTAATTACCAGCCCATCTCTAATGTTCCATTCTTGGGCAAGGTGCTAGAGTGGGGTATGGCTTCTAAGTTCCAGAGGTTCCAGGACGAGATAAATTGTCTAGAACCATTTCAATCTGGCTTCAGGCCTAGTTACAGGACTGAGACTGCTTTGGTCGCCCTGGTGGGTAAACCTGCACCAGGGATCAGATGGGGGAGTGTGTCCCTGTTGGTTCTGCTGGACCTCTCAGCAGCTTTGATTCCATCAACCATGGTATCTTTCTGGATCATCTCACTGGGATCGAACTTGGAGGCACTCTTCTACTGTGGCTCAGGTTCTTCCTGGAGGGGAGAATTCAGTGGAGTGGTACTGGGGGGCTCCTGTTTGACACCCTGGTCATTGGAACAGATCAAGGAACAGGGATTCGGTTGGTGCCGGATGGGGTTACACTCTCTCTGAAAACACACATGCACAGCTTAGGGGTTGGTCCTGGATTTGTCTCTGAGCCTGGATGCCCAGGTTTTGGTGGTGGCCAGGAGTACATTGGCCAAATTAAAATCAGTGTGCCAGCTGTGCCCATGTCCAGAGAGGTCTGATCTGGCCATGGTGGCACATGCCTTAGTTACATCTTGACTGGATTACTGTAACATGCTCTTCATTGGACTGCCTTTGGAAAGTGTTCGCAAACTCCAAAGGGTCCAAAATGTGACAGCTGGATTTTTAACTGAGGCTGGTTACAGGGAACATATATCTTCCCTGTTACAGGAGCTCCACTGGCTACTGATCTGCTTCTGGGCACAGTTCAGAGTACGGTTTTCAACCTATAAAGCTGTAAACAGCTTGCCCTTTATGAGTCTACTTGGGTATTAAGATCTAGAAAGGCCTTTCTCTCGGTCCCACCACCCTCACAAGCATATTTGGTGGATACACAACTAGAAAGGCCTTTCTCTCGGTCCCACCACACTCACAAGCATATTTGGTGGATACACGGGAGAGGACCTTCTTTGTTGCTGCTCCCAGACTCTGGAACTCCCTGCCACAGGAGCCCAAGGTGACCCCATCTTTGCTGTCCTTCTACAAGCAGATGAAGATTTTCTCTTCAGGCAGGTTTTCCTCCAAATAACTTTGTTTTTTTTTTAGGGTTATTTCATTCTCTATTGGTTGACCAAGAGGTATTTAAAAGTGAATATTGTATTCTGTCGTTTTACTTGTGTTTTTAATATTGCCTTTATTTATAAGTTTTAATATGTTGTTTATTTAATTCTTTTTAAATGTTGTAATAATTTATTATTTTAGCTTTTAACTTTTTTTCTTTTAGTAGTGTAGTAGTCCTTAGGAGAAAGACAGCATCTACATATTTCAAATAAATAAATAAATAAATCACGTTTTCTCTGCTGTGTAGTCCACACCCTTAGAAAAATAAAGGTGTATGTATCTAGTCCACACCCTTAGAAAAATAAAGGTGTCAGGTGCAGGAGTGGAAAGAATGGCAGAGGTCCTTTTGTTTGATGTTGGATGTAGTCCTCCTTAGGCCTAAAAGGTAATCTTTATTTGAAAGCAGAAGTGTGTCTCAGATATTTGCTTTAGTTTCTCTCATAAATTTTGTATGATTAATATTAACATTTTCAAAATGATAAAAAAAATATTGAGCACTGGTTTTGTTTTGTCTTTTGTTTTGTTTTTGGTCAAAAGTTTATGACTGAAGGGATTGATGATGGAGGCTTTTACAGTAACTATCCTTGTGATCTGGTGGGGAGGGAGAGTGATTGTTTGCTGTCAGCTCTCAGTTGTTTGTACCACTTTCAACCCTAGGAACCTTCACAAGGGACTTACGTGTATATATGTGGTGTGCATGCACTCTTTAACATCATGCTATTTACTTGATTCGTTGCCAAAGGAGAGGCATTAACCATCTTTCTGCCAACTAGGAAGTTGCCATGGGTATGAGAGTACCCTTCTTGAGTCAGGACTTTGAGCCATGATAACTGGAGGGTCTCCTTCTTTTCTTTGAGGGTCAGCTTGTTTTGTAGTCATTTCATTTCGGTTTCCTTTTTTAAAAAAAAAATTGAGCCTGTTTAATCATGTATATTATTGTTATAGGTCTTAAACTCCTTTGTGAACTGATGAATGCAACTCTAATGCTCATACTATTGGTAATAATGCTGTATATTCTTAACTGGCATGTTATATGATGGAATCATTTAAACTGTGTCTTAAATGAATTGCAGTTGAGTTAATATATTTATGTTGATATTATAATTGTGAATATTGTTATTGTATTTTTTTTAGTGTTTTGAACTTCACTGAACACAATGTACTGTATTGTGGGAAATGGGGTGTACAGATAAACTAATTGTGATTATATCTGCCTTCAACATTGACCCCTCAGAGTTGGAATAGTATTGTTATCATTATCTCTGCATTGTAAATATAAATATGCGCAAGCCTGTTCATCTATGCAGCTTACCTCCAGATATTCACGAGGAATCTTAAGGAAGGTGTTTTTGACTGACCAAACACACCTCCACCAAACATTGTCAACTATTTATCAAGTTTTGCCTAAGCAACAATATTGCTTGCTTTGAATTTAATGGGGAAAACATTGAGTCAAAACATTCAAGCAGCTTTTTGTAAAGGTACCTGATATTTCTGCCAAGCAGAATGTCAGAATATAATATATCATCCCTGAAGAATACCTTGCTTGGAAAAAAATAGCCTTATCTGTCAGATTACGTTGAGTAATATTATACAGAATTATTAGTGCATGTAGATAGCTTATGAGTGAATTTTTAAAATGTACCAAACACTTGAGAAGGATTTAGCCCCTCTCAGAAATGATACTTAAGAATATGCAAATATTCTCAATTGAATCAAGTTGAACAGATACATGTATCACAAACAATTCAAATTCTGTTCTCACTTGCTGAGGCTGTCAGTCAGTAAAGAGAATGGTCCAGAGTTCTGACAGTTTGTAAAAGGAATAGTGTGAGCAGGGAACTTCAATGTATGGTACTAATCTCAACAACATTAATTTGCTACTGTGCTGTATCATAAAAATAGTTTAATACAATATAACACTTCTTTGTCCAAACGCAAAGTAAATTGTAGGATGTGTTCTGAAAATAGTGAGTTAAAACATTTTTGTTAGTTCCCTTTGTATCAGTATTTGTTTCCTAACAATTTTACCCCACGTAAAACAAACATATTTTTGTTGTACTGTAGCCTGTTGAGTTTAAGGGCAGTTTTGAAATACTACCTTGTTGAAAAATCGGAGACTACTAGGTGATCATGGAAGTCTGGCAAAGATATATTTATATATATGATTATATTAAGATGAATTTATTTTACAGCTGTATAATCTCTTTATGGTTTCTTTTCCTTTAAGGAATCTCCTTCTGGGCGCCGGAAGGCTCTTGCTACCAGCAATATTAACATGAAGCAATATGCAAGTCCTATGCCTACACAGACTGATGTCAAGCTGAAATTCAAGCCTTTGTCCAAGAAAGTTACATCTGCCACATTGCAGTTCTCTTTATCTTGTATTTTTCTGAGGGAAGGAAAAGCAACGTAAGTTTTGTGGGAAATTACAAACTTTTTGTCGTTGTCCCCCCCCCCCATGCTATAAATAACTCTTCTGAGCAGAAGAGTGTCTCTTAGGAACCAGGAAGAGGGGAATTTTCACCTATTCTCATTAAAAGTTATTTTCATGCAAATAGAATAAATTGGATGCAGAAACTTGATTGCCTTTGGCATAGTTGCGTTAGTGTTCCTTCTTCGTGGCGCAGTTGCGCCTTCAAGATTAGAACTGTGGGAGACCTGAACTTAGTTGAGTTATAATCAGGACAGCAAGTCACAGTTATCATCTATACAGAAATGTAGCTGACAGTTTTCATAGATCTTGGGTACAAGATACTGACTGAAATTGCTAGTACAGTACTTAGTTTATAATTTATCAGAAGTTAAATAGTATAATTGTTGCTATTGTTAGAGATGAAGACATGCAAAGCCTGGCAAGCCTAATGAGCATGAAGCAAGCAGATATTGGAAATCTAGACGATTTTGAGGAAGATAATGATGATGAAGAAGAAAACAGAGTGAACCAGGAAGAAAAGGCTGCAAAAATTACAGGTTTGTTTCTCTTTCTCCTAGGTATTGATCAAGATGTATTTATTTTCCAATCTGTTCTTAGAGATTATGGGCCAGAATTTTATTGGTGCTCTTATTAGGTTTCCTTCAGTAGTGCATGAGATGTCCAGGAGAACCAGTTTTAAAGCTGTTGCAATGTTGAGGGGAACCAGCAGGTACACATCGCCTTCTCACCTTTCCTAGCCAGTTATGCCCTGAAACAAGTGATCCAGCAATACATTAACAGTGATTTCTCTTGCAAATAAAGTTAAAGTCTGATTGGAATGGGTCTAGATAATTAGTATCCTTCAAGAGTGCCCAAAATTACAAACTGCTACTTCCTCCATAACCATATTTAGAGATGGAAAATTAGAAATCAGGCAATAGATTTCCAAAGCCAAATGGCTCTTTACTTTTTCAAAATATTAATATATTTCCAGTGCCTCTTTCAAAAATGTTGCATTCTGTAATTTGCTGTGCACTTTAGTGGAATTGGGGATGTGGTGGTGCTGCAGGTTAAACTGCAGAAGCCTCTGTGCTGTAAGGTCTGTAGATCTTCAGCTGTAAGATCAAATCCACGTGATGGAGTGAGCGCCCGTCACTTGTCCCAGCTCCCGCCAACCTAGCGGTTCGAAAGCATGTAAATGCAAGTAGATGAATAGGGACCATCTCGGTGGGAAACGTTCCGTTGGACCACCACGGTGGGAAGGTAACAACATTTCGTGTCTGGTCGCACTGGCCATGTGACCATGGAAGATTGTCTTCAGACAAAACGCTGGCTCTATGGCTTGGAAACGGGGATGAGCACCGCCCCCTAGAGTCGAACATGACTGGACAAAAACTGTCAAGGGGAACCTTTACCTTTATCTTAGTGCAATTAATAATAAAAATGGTAGAGCAATAGTAGCATAAGCTTCAGCTTCTTTAGAAATTTGTGTGTACTTATTGGATGAGACACTGGACAGTGATTAAAAGTGAAAAGATAAATAGGATATTAAGAATTTTGATAATAGAGCTAAAGTTATGTCTGTCTGGAAACTGAATGCTAATCTGAATAGGTAAAATACATACCTTGTGTACAGTGATAACTGTTAGACTAATTTATCTTCTACAAGTTTATTTTTATAGCTTCATCACAAATGCATGGCGTATTTTCATAGTATGTTCTTCCTCTCTATTTCATATCAGAAGTGGAACATACAAAGTTCCATTATCCTGAGTCTGATTCTCCGTCCTTCCAGCTCACTATTGTCAGCAGTGATTTGTAGCAGTTATTTAGGCTTTGAGACAGGATTCTTTCTTAGCAATACCTGAAGATGCTGGGAATTGAATTTGGGTCTTCTGCATGCAAAACATCAGATTGCAACCCATCCCCAAATGGTCCTAACTTCAGTTCTGTTTACCTAGCAGATAATTTCTGCAATTTATATTTAATTTGTTTCTTGAATTGCCATACCAGAATGTGTGCATATTTCTTGCAATTACTCATTCATCTCACAATCTATCAGCATTAGTCTTTATCAGATGGCTGCAAAATTTGTCAGATTGCAGATGTTAAGCAAATTCATGCGCGTTTTCTCACTTTTCACAATTGTGCACCATAGTTACCTTTCTCAGTCCCAATATTAATAAAATAAACGTTATTAATGACGCACATTTGAGCTTTACTAGTTGGTGTTAGTGTATACAGTACAGGTTCACTGCCTTTTGGAAAATGGAGATGATAGTCGGTCCTCTCAAAACCCCTACAGGACTTAAATGGCATTTAGCTACCTTATTTACTTGCTTCTCCAGTAGTTCCTTGGCTCCCTGCACGGAGGAACAGCACTTAGTAGAGAGATCAAAAGTAGTATATCAGCTCGAAATTATTACTGAACACCTCAATTAATTCACTTAGTAGCTCTAAACCCATGATAGATAAGCTGCAGTTTGTCCTAAAATGAGAGATACTGTACACAGAATATTCATGGGGGGAGGGAATGGGAAGAAAACTAACTGTATTCTGCCACTGGTTAAAAAGAGAACTCTCTATAACGATCAGTGCCAACCTGAGATATTTACTGCCTGAATCTCAACCCAAATTGAGCTCACCCTATGAGGCCATCATATTGATCCACCATTCAGACACCAACTCCAGCTTTTGTCTATTCTTTGTAGTGCTGTCACTCCACTCTTGCGAAACAGTGGCTGAAATCCAGTAATAAGGCATAACTAGAGTATGCCTATTGAATCATTGAAACTTACGGGTGAGCTGACTCACCTAATCCCCACTGATTCAATGAGCCTACTCAAGTTGCAACATACTATTGGACTTCAGTCTTCATCTGGTAATATTATTAATATATTTGTATGTACTGTCTTAATTAAAACATTAATATAGTGTATCATTGATTCTTTTGAATCAACTGACTGTTTGTTTTACAAGAGTATGCATATTAGCATTCTTTTTCATTACACTGAGTAAAATCCTCATGCACACACAAGGAAATGTTCATTATTATTGTGATGATGTACCCTAAAATATGTTTCTAAATTAACATATGTTATTTCTTTTCCTCTTTTCTTTTTCTAATAACAGCATGTTTGTACTCCTTTTTCCCTTAAATAACCTTACCTCACAATTGTCTTGGCTGGCTTCTGTTTACAGAATTTGTAAACCAGTTGAATGCTCTGAGCAGCTTAGATGAAGATCAAGATGACTGCATAAAACATGCAAATATGCTTTCAGCTAAATCAGCCAGTTCTTCTGAAGGTCTAAAAGCTTTCCTCCTTCCTTTCTGTTTCTGGTTGTGTGTATTTTACAGTGACCTGTAGTCCCCTTTGTTTCTGTCTGTTTGCAAATTTATCTATGTTTAATATCCATTTCAAGTCTTTTATCTAACATATAATTCAATTAACAGATGCTAACTTGATACTTGTATCTACCAGAAGTAAGCAACATGTGACCCTTCAAATGCTGTTGGACTGCAGTTCCCATCAGCCCCAGCCAGTATGAACAGTGGCTGGTTGGAGTTGTAGTACAGACATGTCTGAAGGGGCAGCAGGTAGTTGACCCATGAGTACACATCTCATTGGCTAAAATTATATAATATTCTCTTGATAATTTGATACCTTGGACTGACTCCCCAAGGTTTCACATATACTACATATAGACTTTCCTCCTTAGCAATGGAAAACACCAACCTTTCAATGAATATATGTTGATTTTAAAAATGAAAAAACCTTGCTAGCATTTTTTTTGCAAACCTGGTTTCAGAAAGTCATTGCTGAAATGCAGTGAGCCAGTTCCATTTTTTTTAAAAAAAGCCTTCTTTAATTAAAAAAAAGTGCCTGGTTTTTTTATATGCCTAAGGTTGTGCTAAGAAAATATATCAGTTTCGTTTTTCAGTATAGATGTGTTCCGATTCCCTAGTTCTCAAGATACCGTACTTTGTTTAAATATTGCCAAAAACAAAATGTATGTTTAACACTTAAACTTTAAACAGCAAAGTCCAGTTCTAATTGTTGCTGAACTGAAAAGTGCTTTGCTTGGTTTCTCAGAGCTTATCAACAAACTTAATTTCCTGGATGAAGAGGATCAGGAGTTAGACAATTCCAGTTCAAATCCATTTGTAGATCCTGACAGAGTGGAGCTAAACCCTTTTGGAGACCCTGATATGGAAGGTATAGAGTTTTTCTTATCTCTGCTGTTTACAATCTTCGAGTGTTACTCGTACTCTGTTTTCAGACTAGTTCAGTCCCTCCTGCTGCTTGCTTTTCTTAGAGTTTGTCAGGCTTTCCTTGTGTGTCCTTTTGCTTCCTAGGTATTGGGCTCTTTCACATGTAAGAACCTCACCTTGCTAAACCATAGTTCACCAAACCAAGAATAAGTGTTCAAACTATGCACTCCTCCTTCAGTCTTTACCTCATGTTCGTGCTTCTTAAACCAGACTTTTTCACTGCACCTAGAACAGGATCCCTAAAAGGGAGGAAGCAACTGAAGTGGAGGGCATGTGAGCTGGACACTTCTTTTTAGGTTGCTCCTTCTGTCCCCTTTGTGTATCATTCTTGATTAAGTTAAACTGTAGTTGTAAACTATGGCTTTGCAAGGCAGGACTCCAGAGCAAGATTACTGAGTGAAAATTAGTTCTAATGTTCAGATTAAACATATTCATATTAAACACTGAACAAAAACTTGTTGGCACAGTTCCACTAGTATATCAGGGCACCATAGCTAAATAATTTCAATTAATTTAAAGCTTCCCGCGCCCTCCGTCCCCACTTTCAGCTTTGTAGGCTCCCCCAAGCTCTCTTCTGCCCTGGGGAAACCTTTGGGAACCTTAGGATAGGTAGGAGGGAGCTTTTAATAGTCAAAAATTGCTGCCAGATTTCTGCCACTGACTGTGATGCAACAGCAATTTTTTAACTTTTAAAAGCTCCTATCCCACAGTGTCCTGAGACTCCCAGTGGCTTCCCCAGGGCAAGAGAGGCCTAGAGAGTTTCCAAAGCTCAAACAGGAGTATAGGAAGGTTTGAATTGATTTAAATTAATTATTTCTGGCTATCCTATCTGGTTTGCACCAGCAGAACAGCACCAACAGTATTTTGCCTATTGTCTCAAAAGAGGTGTGAGGTTTAATCCTTGCTGCATCAAAGGAAAAGTTTTTCTACTATTTTACAGATATTCTCTTACTTCCCTCAACATTCCCAGTAGCTTTGTTCTGCCATATTCTTTTCATTCTGCTTAAGGACAGTATTAGGCTTCCTCTCAGTTACATCTGGAATGCAGAAGGTAGAAGTAATAATGAAACAATGGGTTTTACATCGTTTTATTACATTGTTTACACTGGTTGTACTCTGCTTCTACAAATGGATGGATCACTAATACCCTATCCTACTTCCTCGTTCCAGCTGTGAAATTACGTTTTTTCCCCTGTTTGGCTTTGAATGATCTCAAAGTACATTTTTCCCGGTTTACTCTTCTTATAAATGCTTACATATAAAGCCCTAAAGGGTTTACTCCCACCAAAATCTCTCCGTATCACCTGATCGAGTCAGGAGGTGAGGCTGAGGAGCCTGATGCCAAAGGAGGCCCGGAAGGAAAAAACTAGAAACCGGGCCTTCTCGGCGGTGGCTCCTCGCCTCTGGAATAATCTTCCGCCGGAGAGTTGTGCGGCCCCTTCACTGGGCATCTTTAAAAAACAACTGAAAACCTGGACGTTCACACAGGCCTTCCCTCCAGGTAATACCTGTTTTTTTCCATTTTTCTTTTTTCCCTTTTTTTCTTCTTGGATAATTCCCTTATACTGATGTTTAAAATTTTTGTTATATTGTAATTTTGTTAGATTGTTATTTTATGTGTTGGAAGCTGTCTAGAGTGGTCGTTAGACTAGATAGGCAGGATATAAATGCAATAAATAAATAAATGTATGTATGTGTGCGTGCGTGCGTATGTATGTATGTATGTATGTAGGTATGTAGGTAGGTAGGTAGGTAGGTAGGTAGGTAGGTAGGTAGGTAGGTATGTAGGTATGTATGTATGTAGAGATTCAAGCTGCCTTTAAGCCAAAGTCTGTTATCACAGATGTCCGGGGTTGGTAGTAGTGATTATTCAGTAGTGAATGGCATGTTGAAGATGTTAAGGCATGTATTATTCTTCTACATCCTTTTTTGTGAGACTGAGAATAAATTTGAATACATATATTGCATTAAATCTTCTTAATTTCTCTACTTATTTTCTTTACTGTTGTACACTGTCACGTGTATGCTCCCATAGCCTTTAGCATGTTTCATAACGTTGCATCTAGTACAATATATGGTTCATCTCAGAATCTCGCCATTCTTGGCTGCACATCCAATGAAGATGTCTTTGGGTGCTGGGTGTGTGTAGGCATTCTTTAGTCTTGAGAGACTATGGTAACGTCCTCTGTATGGAGGACTTGGAACAGCATCTAGTGTGGCTAAGAAGGACAATTTGAGAGTGACAATCCCTTCCACAATGAAGACAAATACAGTCTGTCCCTTGTCCAGCTCTCTGATTTTGCTGCTTTTGGGATTGCCTCTTCGCCTCGGCCTGCTGGACAAGGGTCTCTTCAAATTGGGAGAGGCCATGAGGCACCACCTGCCTCCAGGCTGAATGCTCAGATGTCAAGCTCCAAGATCTTTTGGAATCCGGCCATCAGCCATTCTCACAACATGCCCAAGCCAACGTAGACGTCGCTGTTTCAGTAATGTATATATGCTAAAAATTCCAACTCGTTCTAGGACTACTCTATTTGGAACTTTGTCCTGCCAGGTGATACCAAAAATGTGTCGAACACATATGGAACGTGTTCAGCTTCCTCTCCTGCTGTGCATGAAGGGTCCAGAACTCACTGCAGTACGGGAGTGTGCTCAGGACACAGGCTCTATAGACCTGGATCTTGGTATATGCCATCAGCTTCTTATTAAGCCATACTCTCTTTATGAGTCTAGAAAACATGGTAACTGCTTTGCCAATGCGTTTATCCAGCTCGACATCTAGAGAGAGTGTGTCAGAGACTGTTGAGCCAAGGTACACAAAGTCATGAACAACCTCCAATTCTTGTGTAGAGATGGTAATAGAGGGAGGTGAGTCCATGCCCTGGCCCATGACTTGTGTTTTCTTCTGGCTGATTGTTAGTCCAAAGTCTTGGCAGGCCTTGCTAAAATGATTCATGTGTTGTTGGAGGTCTTCAGCAGAGTGGGCAACAATGGCTGCATCATCAGCAAAGAGGAAGTCCCGCATGCACTTCAGTTGGACTTTGGTCTTCGCTCACAATCTGCAGATATTAAAAAGCTTTCCATCTGATCCAGTCCGGAGATAGACCCCTTCTGTTGCAGTTCCAAAGGTGTGCTTCAGCATGACAGCAAAAAAGATCCCAAACAGGGTCAGTGTGAGGACACTGCCCTGCTTCACTCCGCTTTGGATATCAAAGGGATCTGATGTTGATCCATCAAAAACTACAGTGCCCTTCATTTCCTCATGAAAGGACCTGATGATGTTAAGGAGTCGAGGTGGACATCCAATCTTGGGAAGTATTTTAAAAAGGCCGTTCCTGCTAACTAAATCAAAGGCCTTTGTGAGATCTATGAAGTCCACAAAGAGTGGCTGTCGTTGTTTCCTACATTTCTCTTGCAACTGTCTGAGGGAGAATACCGTGTCAGTGGTGGATCTATTAGCTTGAAATCCACACTGTGATTCTGGAAAACTCTGTCTGCAAGCACCTGGAGTCTCTTCAGCACAACACGGGTAGGCAGCTTCCCTACAATGCTGAGAAGAGAGATGTCATGGTAGTTACTGCAGTCGTCACTGTCTCCTTTGTTCTTATACAATGTGACAATGTTTGCATCCTTCATGTCCTGTGGTACTCCACCTTCCCTCCAGCAAAGACAAAAGATTTCATACAGCACTTCAGTACTTCAGCAGGGATGTTATCCTTCCCAGGTGCCTTGCCGGTGGCGAGGGAATCCAAAGCTACCTTTATTTCTGCTAAAGTTGGTTCGCTGTCCAACTCTTCCAAGACAGGCAGGCACTCCATGTTATTTAATGCCTCTTCAATTACTATATTCTCTCTGGAATATAGTTCAGAGTAGCGCTGCACCCAGTGTTCCATCTGCTGTGCTCAGTCCTGGATGATCACACCTGTAGCAGACTTCAAGGGAGCAAGCCTGCTTGATACCGTCATACACTCCCTTGATGTTACCTGTGTCGACTGCTGTCTGGATCTGAGAGCAGAGCTGAAGCCAATAATAGTTGGAACATCTCCTGGCAGACTTGACTTTTCTACGAGCAGCTCAAAGAGCCTGCAAGTTGTACTCACTAGGACAGGCTTTGTCCTGTCCTTTGGGTCCTGGGTATGGATTGCAGATAGCAACAGTGATGTTTGTATGTGGATTCAGCAGGGGCAGGAGCAGGGACATATGTAAGACTTTGTATGTAGCTACAATATTGTGACTGCTCTTTTCTCTTTTGTTCACATTGGGTTGTGCTTGGCTTCACTGCAGATTGATAGATGATTAATAGCAAGTAGGGAGCTTAATCACTTTAAACAAGAATGCATCCATTTTAACTTGGTCTTGGATTAGTAATACAACCTAGATTTTTGATGTTGCTACATTTGACAGAAGGACTTTATTTGTTAATGTTCGTAAAGACCTTTGAAGATTTAAAGGACAATGTTAGTGTTGAATGTTATTACGGGTAATTTATTGTTTACATACCCACAGCCTTCTTTAAGAGTGTACTTTTCTTGTCTCTTTCTCACTTGTAATTTTTTTTAAAAAAATGTCGTTATAACTTATGTATTCAGAGTAACACTTAAATTCTAGGATTTGATTTAGGTTTTTTCTTTTTTAAAATATTTCTGAAATTATGAATGCAGCTGGATATTTAATACTATACCTAGGCAATAACTAATTAAACTAGTGGCAGAAATCCTGTTCATAGAGTAATCTCTATGTAACCTTTCTTACTTTGTCCCTCATACACAAAGTGCCCCTACCATGATTCTCAGCGGGCAGCAAGACATTGTATGCATGTGTCCTAAAGAATCACAGCAGCAATGATTTGTTTACAAGGAACGGATAGAAAGTTCCATTGGGCTTACAGTACAAACAGGATTTTAGCCATTTTTCCATTGTAATGATTTCTAAAAAATCATTATAACCTTTCTTTAAAATCATGTTTGCTATAAACATTATGAACATGGTAATAGAATCTTCATCTGGGGAACTATTGTTATTTTTCAGAAACATGTAATCTACTTTGAATTGGCAGTCTTAGCTCTAACGTATCTAGGATTCCAGCCACAATTTTTTTAAAAAAAATATGTAGCATATTGAGTCTCACTGTTGGTTCTCCTTATCCTAGACAGAATCTTCAAGTAAAAATATAAAATATAAAGCCCTAAACGGTTTAGGACCTCGATACTTGGCGGAACGCTTACTCCCAACTAGTTCACCCGCACAAGCCAGGAGGTGAGGCTGAGGAGCCTGACACTGAGGGAGGCCCGGAAAGAAAGAACTAGAAACTGGGCTTTCTCGGTGGTGGCTCCTCGTCTCTGGAATAACCTACCTCCGGAGATTCACGCTGCACCCTCGCTGGGTACTTTTAAGAACCAACTAAAAACATGGATGTATAGGCAGGCCTTGCCTTCCAGTTAATTCCTGTCCTCTTTCCTTTTTTTCTCTCTTTATTTGATTTATTTTAATTTTTCCCATCTTATAGAATCATTTAATTAATTAATTGTTATAAATTTTTTTAGAACTTGTTATCCTTATGTTGTAAGTCGCCTAGAGTGGTCGAAATGACTAGATAGGCGGAGTATAAATACAATAAATTAAATAAATAAATAAATAAATAAATACATTATTTCAAGTTCTTATAGCAACAAAGTCTTGTAGCACTTTACAGACTAAGGCCAAAAGTAATTGTGCAAGTGATTTCGCCCTTTGGTGGACAGTCCTTCATGTGTCTGTTTTCACAACTAGTATGTGACCAGTCACATGGTGTATATGCTGCCAATGAGGGAATCACTACTGTAGCTTTAGTTGTGTATGCGTGTTTTTTTGGGGGGGGGCAGGATTCTCACAATGAATTTTATTATGGCATGAGCTTTCATGGACTATTTGTGGCATAATGATCCTGGTAAGTCTAGCACATAGACATGGAAGATTATATGGCAAGTATTATATGATTATATGACTTTTGTCAGCCTGAGCCAAAGCAGCTCATCAGCCCTGTATAGTGCCTTGTCATACTCCTTTCACTTTATTCTTTGTGCAGAAGCTGGAGTGATGGTGGTTACGAAGCACATAGCAAGCCATTCTGTATATTATTAAATCGTTACAGAGGCCAATGCTTAAGCACAATGCTGGCCCAGGACACTTGCGTACTTTAAGCAAAAGGTGAACATGAAAGCCTACTCCACCACTGCATGAGTGTACCGGATACCTTGCAGTTGTGGCCAGGTATATATTGGAACCACAAAATGCAGCATCCACACCAGAATCAAAGAACATGAGAGGCACTGCAGACTAAAACAACAGGAAAAATTGGCAGTAGCTGAATATGCCCTAAAACAAGCTGGACATGAAATTCTATTTCAAAAGACAGAAGTACTGGACAACACCAGCAATCATGATGTTAGACTGCACAGGGAAGCCATTGAAATCCACAAACACTGCCAGAACTTCAACAAAAAAGAAGAAAGTTTAAAACTCAATAAAGCCTGGCTCCCAGCACTGAAAAATATAGCCTGCAAAAGGTCAATGAACTCTACCCAGCTACAAGGACCGGTGATCACTGCACACAAAAGACTAGCTAACGAGCCCCATCAATCACAGTGACAGATAATCTCTCCCTCTTACCACAACAATACATCCACAACAAAAAACACACTGATCACCCATCTCCTGAAAAGGACAAAAGCTGATTCCACAGCTATAAATACTCAACTATCCAAACAAACTGCACCAGATCACAGAATTCTGACTCCTTTTCTCTGAAGATGCCAGCCACAGAGACTGGTGAAACGTACATGGCCAAAGAGCCCAAAAAACCCACAACAACCTACTCCACTTTTTTGTTTAAGTGCAACAAAAATGCATAAAAATGGATATTGGAAGCAGAAAAATTGTGTCCCAACTGGAATCTAGTACTTGGAATGACTGCTTCATGTTGTAGCTTTTGGGTCTCACTCAGATTGTGTCTGGATAATTCTCATTGCTACAGCTTCCTGTGTGAATGATCCTGTGAAACTGTCTTACCAATCCTGGTAAAATTTCTGATTTGCTTTTTATGTACATGCACTAATCACCAAGGTGTTGAGACTTGTTCATCTAACCAATGTTTTTCTCATAAGATTTCATCAACCTAGAACACTATTTAAAGATGTTGACTTTGCTATGATAATAATTTTTATGGATGATAAATACATTCTGCTCATGTTTATAGGGTTAGGAATGTGTTGCTTTGTTTGACAGATTGGGAATTCCTATATTAAAAAGCAAACATTTATATTGATTTCTATAGAACCAATTATTAAGGAGATGTCATCTTCAAAACAAGAAGACTCTTACTGCGATGATGATGATGAGTACAATCCCTTTAAAGAAGAGGAAGCTGCTGAGTATGTAAACCCTTTTGATGAACCAGACATTGAACCCGAGGCTCAGGCACCCATCAAAGACTTTCCTCCTCAACCAGCAAAAAGGAAAAATGTTCAGCCAGTGGACATGAGCAAATACCTCTATGCCAACACATCAAAAACAGATGATGAAGAGTTAGATGAGTAAGTATATAAACTTTCTATTTTAAAGAAATCTTTATTCGCTAGTTAGGATTTTATCATGAAATATCAGGGCATTATTCAAGCCTGGTCAGCATGCATGTTTTGTCAGTTTTATTTTGGGATGCTGTTCTTGCTTAAGAAACTAAACTCTCAAGTATTTCTAAGCAAGGCAAATGTTCAGGATAGAAAAAAACACATTCTCTGTTTTTGTTTTTTGTGTAGCGCTAGCCATAGAACATTCTTTTGGCTGGTAGCCACCAGCCTAGAGATATAGTTAGACACAAGTTGGAAAAAAGGAAATGGGAATTTTAAACAATAACTGCAGAACTCCCTAACTAATGAGAAAATAATGAGAAACAAGTAAAATTCTGATATTAAGTTAGGGAAAAGTATCCTAAGGACTGTATAGTTGTAAGATAAAAAGATACCCTTATAGATTCAGATCTGTCTAAAAGACAAATAATTGTTCAGTAGGATTTTTCCCCCTCATTAGATTATTGCTGGCAGTTTGCAATCATAAAATAATGCAATACAGATAACGTGAGTTGTATATAACTGTTACCACAATAAAGCTACTTTGAAAATTGGTATAAAAAGCCTGGAAAAGCAGCCTTCCCAAGTGAGAGTGTTTAGTAATGTTTCTGCAAGGGTGAGCCCAGGAAGGCTATCATGAAGAATGAATGTCAGAGGTTTAGCGATATCATGAGGAAGGCTCTGCTGTACTTCTCCAGTGGCTGGAACCTGCTTCCCTGGAGAAAGGGACGTAATACAGGTATATAAAGCTTAGCCTGTCTAAATCTTTATATTTTTTTGTTCTGGAAGCCAATAGAAAACAGATGCATTTGTCACAGGATAGGGTGCATATTGATTCTGAATTAATGTGTAAGATGACACTGCAGGTCTCATCTGTTTGTTTTTGTTTTACAAATGTCACTCGTGAATTAATACTGTGAAGAAACCAGAAATTGTAACTATTTTCACTAATTTTCATGATCAATGTTACTTATATTATCCATAGGTTAAATTTGTTATTGAGTTTTAACATTCCTTCCCCCGCTCCTTTCATAAGACTGGGTATATATCCCTGAAAATAATACATTCTTCCAAGAACTAGTGCATATTATGTATATGGATTTTTCTGATTATCTCATTAGTCCTGTGCTTAATTTCTTGGAAGGTCATTGAAACTGAACCAACCTCACAAATGACAGATGCTTTAGAGACAAAATTTTGACATTAGTTTCTAATAATATTTGAGGAATTTGAGTTGACATAGGCCAGTATGTTACAAGACAGAATACAGTACAGTATGAGGAATTGAATGGTAGTGTAACATTATAGGGTAATTGAGACATAGCAGTTAAATAGTTGTTACTCAACATTTCTGTGATCATTTGAATATGCATAACTCAAAACCTTTTCGAAACTAATGTTAAGGTTTATTATTTCATAGATTTCAACTAGTCTGTTTTAAAAATTAGTGTATCACATTATATTAATTGTCTTAAAATGACAAAAAAAAATGGCAAATCAAAAGATGGCATAAAGTGATAGGTTGAGTTTTTTCTCCTGTTCATTTATTTGTACATATAAATAAATATGTACTACTGAAGTCACAGCAGGGTGTTTCACTGCTGGTTCTGTTTTTCTGTGCATGCAATAGTGGATTTGAAAGAGTAAATAATGTGTGTATTTTCCTCTTCTTTTTACTGATTCAGATGTACTGCATTAGGCCTCCACACAATACTATACAGTGGTGCCTCAGCGATGTTAATCCATGCAGCAAAAATCGCTGCTAAGCGATTTCATCGCTAAGCGATATTAAAAAGCCCATAGAAACATTAAAACACCATTAATGCGTTCCTATGGGCTTAAAAACTAACCTTAAGCGAAAATCCTCCATAGAGGCAGCCATTTTCTGTGCCTCTAAAGCGAGGCAACACAGCAGGTGGCCATTTTGTTTACCCGGTGGCCATTTTGGAACCGCCGATCAGCTGGCCGAAAATGGGGGCTTTGCGATGATCACTTCCCTGTGATCATCGCAAAACGAATTTTCCCCCTAGGGACCATCGCTAAGCAATCGCAAAAACATCGCAAAGCGATTTCTTCGCTAAACGGAGCGGTTGCTATGCGAGGCACCATTGTATTTATATTACTAAACATTAAGAAAAGGTAAAAATAGCCCTCCCCCACCCCACATAGTATCACTGACTTTTAATTTTTTAAAAACTTCTAAATGTACAAAGAAGCACCAATGAAACTTCTAAATGTACAAAGAAGCACCGCCCAGAAGCCACTGGCAATGGTGCGGCTAAAAAATATTGTAAATAAATAAATATAAATAAATATCCACACATAAACTATTGATAACAACACTATTGACTCCCCTCCATAATAGGTTGTTGCCATGGCAGAGTCTCCATATCTGTCTGTTATGGAAGGAGCTGTTTCATTCACAGCAGTGGAAAAAGTCTACTGACAAGTCCCCCACTGCAGCCCACAATCATTTCCCAGTCACACTCAAAGCCTATCTGGTTCAATATCTTCTTTCCCCAGTGAACAGCCAGATGCATGTTGGAAGCTCAAAAGCAGGTTATGTTTCTGTCTCTCTTTCATAATATTAGAACTTGCAATCATCCACTGAAGCTTGGGTGATTTGGGTCAGATTAAAGGAAGTACTTTGTAACATGGCACACAGAATGTGTGGAGCACACCCTGATGCCCATCAGATTGATTTTTTTTTTAAAGTGTAGATTGATGGAGGCTAAAACTATACGTGGTTACTATTCAAGACAACTGTATATTGTGTATAGCATCGGGGTAGTTCATCACTCGGTATCAGTTGTTGGGGTATTGGAGAAGGAGGATGCATGTGCACTCATATCCTTTTGGTTGGCTTCCTATGAACATCTTGTTGGCCATCCTTTGAACAGAAAAGTGCTTGATCTGATCCAGTGGGCCTCTTCTTATGTTCTGTATACCCTGCAGGCCCCTTCTGAAGTGGTTTAAGCAGGTGAGCCTTCATTTCTACCCATATCCATGGATTCAAGTACATAGATCTTTCTGATCAACAACTGAGTTTATTAAACTGTAGGGACTGGGTCATGAAGAATCGGACACGACTTAATGACTAAACAACAACATGGGACCGGGCACAACAGTATGTGGACCAGGAGTCCCCTCCCCGCCTCCTAGGATAGAGTTGCCTGCACTTTCCCTCAGCATGGCTCAGTCCAGGCCCAGCCCTGAGTTAATGCCACTGAGAGTCCTGTTCCCCAATTGAAATGGTTTCCACAGAGGTCCAAATGTAGCCCCCTCTAATAAAGAGGGTTTATAATCCAGACCCCAGCTACAGTTCATGTCTCCCTGATAGTGGTAGAGGTGGCTGCAGCAGTAGCTGCTGCTGCTGCTGGAGGTGGCACTGACTCCTGCATTGCCTTTTGTGCCTCCAGCATCACCTCTGAGTGGGTATAGAATCTGACTGGCCCTCCATGGATTGTAGTTGCCAGTGAGTGCCTCTGCATAGTTGCTCTGGGTAAGGGAAATGCTCAAAGACTCCTTACCCTTGACTCTGTCCCTGGAGAAGTCAGAACTGCTCTAGGACCCCATGCCCAGGATTCCTCCAGGTAGGTGTAATCTACTGCCTCCTCACTCTCTCCTCCAGTTCCTCAGGAGCATCTCCCCATGTCCCTTCCTCCTTAGTCCTGCAGATGTATGCATTTCCTTGCCTTGCTAGCAACAGATGTCCTTTGTCTCTGGCCGAACCTCCCCTCCCCTCCTCCAGGCCTTCTTTAAGACACCTGACTAACAGGCTGTACCTCCCTGATCGTCCCCCCCCCTCAAGTGCCTTCCAACCACTGTAGCCTCCTCCCTCTCCCAGGCCAGCCAATTCACTTCAGTACTGACCTCAGATCCAGCAGTGGCTTGGTTCTAAGGGTCTGGCAAAGAGCACAGGGTAGGGGCAGACAGCCTACAGGGTGCTGGTAGCAACCCCCTCACATGTTCTTACAGTATGAAGGTAGTCATTTTGTGCTGCACTTGTTTTCCAGCAGCTGATATTTGCTGTCTTAGTTTCTAGAGATAGACACTCTCTTTTAAGTCTACCTAAACTGTGGTATCACTATATCCTGCGTATTCTGTTATACAAGTATACAGAGTCAAGTTAATTGCCCCACCCTCATATTTGCTGACACTCAGAATTATTTTTGGGGGGATAACAAGGCAAAAGATGTACTAAACTTTGCAAAAGGCATGCTGGTTCTTCAGTAAGACGTGCCATTTTATGTGTTTAACAATACAGTGGCATTAACTGTTGCAGTACAGAAAACAAGAATTTTATTCTTGTGAAAGAGCAGCAAGAATTCAACAATAGGAAGTCATTAGATATTCCTGAACAGAGATTGTGGCGATCCCCTCTGAAGCCCCTATTCCCCCAGGTTTTCAGGAGGTTCTCGCTCTTCTTCTTTCTCAGCTGCCACCAGGTATTGTTGCTTTAATACCATTCAATCATGGAGACATGTGTGCTTTTAAAACTTAAGTCATTTATTAAATCAGGGAAGTTAATATATGATTAATATTCAATAGTTAAATCACAGGTTAATAATCACTAGTATTTGAATCAAAAATGTTATAACTTTAAGCTCTTTTAACTCTCTATTCTTTTCATTGTTCTCACAGATCTCTAACTCACTTTTCGTTCACTCTTAGGTTTCACACTGTCTCTCACTACCAGAATTTTTCTTCATACCCCATACACCAGCCTTTATATCCAGCCCCCTCCCCCCTTAGCTCCGCCTGCCATCCACTCATAGGCTCCTTCTTCACTGTTCAGCTGTGACGGACAGGTGAGGGCGGGGCTGATCACTACAGGGACATATGTTGATCTCTTATAGCAATCATTAACATTCTTTTGACTGTGCAAAAGAAGAGGAAGAAAGGACACATGGGAAATGAAAGTGGTAGGAATAAGGTTCCAGTAATGGTTTCAGTTCCTCGTCAAC